TCAATCCACCTCTTGGTCTCAAGTCTCATGCCGGACAAAACCTCCTTCCCAGAGTTTATATGCTGACTAATTCACGTGAGAGACAACTTGCATAAAGTCCTCTGCTGTCAGCCGTTATCGGAGAGTCAACATCGGAAATGTTCCACACACGGTGACACTGGACTTTCAAAGCAAACAATCTTCCGCTACACATGCGAACCTGCGCCTGTCTCCTGGTGTTGACCGAGTGCCAAGAAGGCACTGCTGAAGCCAAATGAGAATAAGGCAAATATCGGGAAGTGGTCCGGAAAATGCAGCCCCGTTTCCCCAGGGAAGTGACAGCCAGATAACAGGACTACACATCCTTCACTCACCAAGCTCATCATTCCAACCAATCTAAGTAAACTGTTTCCACACGGCATGTCATATTTGGAGATTTCCGACGGTTCATGTATTTAAAATTTGCAGGCCACTGACGCAAGTTATTTTTGAACGGCGTCTAAAAACTGGGAAATTCTGATACCTTTGGCGTCTGCCTCTCTTCCAGACCCGTTTTCAGGGAGCTCTTGATAGCTGCGATTCAAGGAAAGGATTCGACAGTAGTTCAAACCTTCCCATGCCCACCATTAACGAAGCACAGGAGAAATGAGACAAGCAGGCAGCCACCGTAAAAAGAAAATTAATCTTTAGAGATGCTGATGCGGCGCTCATTGATGGAATGACGTGGAAAGTGCATTGTTGAGTTGATTAGGCGGTCTCTTTGATGTGATAACATTAGTGTCGATCGGGAGTGACAGAGGAATGAAGTAAAATGCACTAAAGTTAAAGGAAACGATTAGTCTTCGCAGCAGCCCACCCTACGCGAGCTGATAGGTCCTTTACATCCTTGTGTTCCACGAAGATGTAAACACGGGATCAAATTAGAACCATTCTAACAAGCTGTTCAGAAACGCACTCTTCTCATTACAGAAAACTGCCGCACAACTGGGTATACTTGTGGTTTAAACAGAAAGAGCCCCCAAAAGAAAACCAAATCGTTCCTGCTGTTAAACATCATAATCACTGAAATGAAATCACAAATTTCTGTAACGTTCAGCAACCCATGAATTGCTCATGTATGGACACATTTCATATCCCGTGGATTCACTATACTGCCCGGCAACCAGTGTTAGCTGTAAGTCATGACTACGAAGACCATTAGAAATATTCCTGCGACCAACTGAGCAACTACAATATCGTGTTATTGTATTGTGCCCTGTCCACCTTATCGTTCAGTTAAGCGACCTAATTTTAGTAAAAGCTACATCCATGTAGCCAGCAATGCTGTGCATAGTATTGAATACGGAATTTTTGACGTCCCTGTGCTTTTATCGATCGGTTTTGCCTTCAAATGATTTTTTTTTCTGAAAATGTGGTCTTTCACAGCAATCATTTGGGGAATTGACTTCAAGGTTGATAGAACTTATTACTAAAACACCATCATTCGTGGCAGCGTGGCCTTCGAGTAGCTTTAATTGTTCGACATTCTGTGACAATATTTCTAGTGCATAAACAAACTTCGTTCATCTCACACTGACAGAAAGGAGAACCCCCCAAAAAAGAAAAAGGAATTGCCATTCCAACATAAAATGAAAAAGACTCTCAAAACTCGTGTCAAACCGCGTTTTCCATCTTGTTATTACTGCCCACGCAACTGGATTTGAGGTTATACTCTGAAAAGTTCAACTTAGGCATCACTCAGCATCTGTTTATAACCCTTTTTGTCACACCATCGAAATTCTTTTACGCACCAATACTAACTTGCAATTTATCTCCATTTATTCCTGCGCCTTAAAAACAATATTTACGCAACTTATATCAATTTTTTACTTCATAGGTAGGTAGGGCATTTGAATGACTCTTTCTGTTAACGAACAACAACCGATTTTCGGTCGATTTTTCATTGATGCATTTCCGCACGGTGATTGTGCCGCTAGTTTACTAGTCAACACAGATCTCGTTCGCAGATGGCGTCAAACACAGGGACTGTAGTCGTACGAAACCACCTCACGGTTAAAACGATGTGAAATTTCTTTTTTTGTCCTGTTTTGTTCTTCTTTCTTTTTTTCCCCCAATGATAGATACCAGGTGAATCACTTAATTACTGGACAAAAACAGCATAACACTGGATAAAAAAGTGGAAGTACAAATAACGTTTCAAAAACCCGTTGGGTAATATGAGACAAGTTTGCACTTATTTTAGGAGAGAACCCACGTGGTTGGGTAATCTGTTGCCCAACAGTCACAAATACGTTGGGCAAATGCCCAGCGTTTTTATAGTGTTTAACGAATATCAAAAGGCTACCATTTGACGTTTGGGTACAACGATGATGCAAGGTGCCATTCTCTGGGAAACTGCAATAAAGCATGAATGAAAGTGTTGGTGTCTTGAAACTACTGTTTGCTAGAAAAAAGAATGTCTAATTCATCAAACAGACAGCAGACAAAGTGACTGTTCTCAATTCACCGAGGGGCAGGCAAAATTCCGTACATATTACTAATCTTGGGGTCCAGTTTCTTTTATGACGTGTATTTTTTGCCCTGGTGCGTAAAATAATTAGGATCGAATTTTCAATTAACATTTTTACATTATGCATTATTATTTTGTGTTGTGATATGACGCTGTTTTTCGTTTTTTTCAGCCACTATTTTACCAGCCACTGCAAAATGACAAACCAATACAACAATAGCCTCACACGCCTCTCCAAACGCAGATCCACCTACAAGATTTGCTCCGCATGCTTCGGAAAAAACTTAGATGAACAGGGGAAATTTACTTACACTGCACACTGAAAAGTCATTCTGGTAACAAATAAACTTGCATCATACAGATCTATATTTCTGATAGGCCTATCCAATCAGTGATCTCCATGTGAAAGAAAATATATGGGCCATTGCAACGGGCTGTTGGGAGTGAAGTCGAATGATGAGACTGGCTCCCTGTCGTGTACTAGACAACTTCTATATACAAATGTTACGTTTTACACAATCAAACTTACTCGTTTTCTTGACGTTTCGAGCAACACTGTTACCCTTCATCAGAAAATGTGTCTGGTCCCACACGTGACTTTAGCTTGTAGCCCTTGCTGTCCCTGTTCATGTTCTCGGTTGTGCTGATCAAAATAGATTCCTTGACCCGTCTCGTGAATCGAGCTGTTTCTCTGTCCAAAACTTTGCCGTTGTCCCAATCAATTGCGGATTCTCCTGAGCTACATGATCTGTATTTGACAATTTGTTGTGGTCCACCATTGAACCTTTTCTCTGGGCCCCCAAAAGTGTTCCTTCCTCCTCCTCTTTGTACGTGAACTTGATGTTTCCTGTTTCAGCTCTGAAGTTTAGGTGATCTGTGAGGCATTGGACAGTCCCTTTCTTTGCAATTTCGAACAAGTCATCTGCATACCATTTCCAAATTCTGGGTTTATACTCTCCGGGGCAGTGGCAATGGTCATGATCAGCTTTCCTTACCATCCCTTGTACAGATTGGCGGAGATAGATGGCACACTCTTCCAGTATAGCAGTTCCGAATTTCTAACTGGACAGTGCACCTTAAGTACACAGTCCAACAGTTAGAAGACTCCACCTACTGGTAGAATTGTCCCGTCTGGTTATGTTTCACCTTTACTTAGTCCTTCCCTGAAAAACGTGATGGGTTTCTGGTATCGGCATGTTGATGACACCATGTCATTGGATGACATCGTCCCATCTTTTATGGTGGTTTCTACCAATTGCTTATGGAGGTAATTTGAGGCTTCCACATGGAATTCTATTTTCCCTACTACAGGAGAAAGGGGGTCGGCTAAGCTCCTGGACAAATTGTAATGGGGCCGAAGGGGTTTTCTGGCTTGGGCAATGTTTGCTGCACAATAGATTCTTGGAATGTTTTCCTTGGTTGGGGTACAGATAACAGCATTGTTGTTGCCAGGTCGTCTCCCCTTTTTGAATGAGTCAGGACTCAACCAACACCTGTTTGTAATTTGAAGTGGGATCTTTGTTACGTTTCCGCGCACGTCTTTTCATCCGCAAGCATTTCAGACACCTTGCGTGCGTAATCTGTCTTGTCAATAACTGCAGTTGCTTTTTTTCTTCATCTGCTAGAAAATGACAACAGCGTTTTCGTTTTTGACTTTGTGGATGGCCACAGATTCTTCTGTGGTAATATTTGGTTTCTTTGCTTCTGGCGCTATGCTTCATGATTCGGGAAAAGCTTTTGCATAGCGACCACCATCTCTGGAATGGACTGGTTCCTTTGTGCCCTTCTTATCCATTGAAAACAGCGTATTGGTACAAGGCATCTCTTATGTAACTAAGCAAAAGCTTGCCCTGAATCACTAGGTATAGCAACAGGGTCTTTTGTGTTGAGAATTCAAATTGTTAGGTTCATGTGAATTTAAAGAACTCGGTGTACCAGTTTTTATTCAAATGTAACTCGCAAAAGGCTTATTATTCCCATGTAGTCACGTGACCGTGGCGGCAATATACTGGATCTAATTATCTCTCTTATTCATCGGAATCTCTTGGTCAGGGACCCAAACTGTCACATATTACCATTCCGCAAACAACAGATCTGTACAAATTTTTGTAAGATTGGAGTGGTTGAGACTGGTTCCCACAGCACAATTATTGCAATGACAGGATAGGGAACCATTGCGTAGTTCATCATTCGCTTGCACTGTCACAGCTCGCATGGATTTTTTTACACGGACGTCAATGTATCAAAATAGTAATTAATGAGGGCCAAAAAACATGGGCCGCACCCCCATTAAGGACGTACTCCTTGTAATCCATGTGTCCCCCCTTCCCTGTTCAGGAATTTAGAAGAATTGGCTTGACCAAGTACTACTACGTGGAAATTACATCCAATAAGCATAATCCCTTATGTCATTTATACTTTTCGGCAATGTGGTCTGAATTTGATTTCGTTTCCTTTCTCGGGACAAATTGGTGCAAAACACAATGCGTGTAAATCAGGAGTCAAGGAATTGCCCGGAATATTACACATTCCTCACTTTATTTTATGCATTGACGAAACAAGGATTAATCGACAAGCTCTGCTTCCTTCAAGCCAAACAGGTGGGTGCATAAATTACACATGGACATGTAATCCACAGTTTGGTGAAATAAAATAAACACGAACAGCCACGGGACATGAAGGCTACGTCTGAAAAATATGGCTTCGGCTGGAAATGACGCGCGTGCTTAGGGAAGCCACTGGCTACAGCGGCTTCAGCCACTTCTCATAGACCTCTGTGTAACTTCAGCTGCAGCCATGTGATTCAGACTGATCCAACAAATACGGTCACAGATAAAAGCAGGAGTCAACATTTCTTGCAATCCTAGCAAAAAAAGTCCAACTATCAAAAGATTCTAACGTGAAATTTCTTACTTTGGTGTACTTCTGTTGCCACAATAACACTGAAATACCTTTCTGTAAGGTACTCGAATACAATAAATAGATTATAAATACAATACAATACAGTAAGTTGTGGATAAATCTCGTGACTGTTTTTACAGAACTTAAGTTTTTACAGGTTTAGTCTTATTCTACGGTATCTTATCACTATGTTATACAGACAAATATGTTTGAATTCTTTGTTAAATATTTACACGAATAAATATATATTTTATGTACAATGATAATTTCATAGATGTCCAGCTATATCACAAGTCATTGTTTATTTCCGTGATTTCAATTTCTTGCACCTGTTACTTATCAACACCTCCTCCAAATCAATCGGTTACACGTCACGCAACAAAAGTTTGTTTTCCCAAAGTGGATGCACTGAATGTTAAATATATACATAAAACTCATCACCTCTTAATTTAGTATTTTTCCGCTGAGCGAATCGTTCAATCAAACTCATGAGTGGACCCTGTGTTATGCATTCATGACATTGTGTCAGCCTACTCGATAGATACCAACTCGACAATGTTAAGATGACTGACACGGAAAAAACGTCACGCCTATACGTGCCTCTTCTGGACGTAATAGACAATCGCCGTTCAAAACGCCCTCCCTTGAGCTGATATTGCTGAGAATATCCAAGCTTGCCAACTCTTGGTGAATGAGGTTTGCCTTTAACATTGTGATAAAAGATTGTCTCGCACGAACGGTAAATATTTTGGATTTCTGAAATCTTTCACGACTACTTAAGAGTAAAATCGTGTGAAAATAGAAAGCGCTTACCCTGACAATATTATAAGGAAGGGGAAAAAAGACGCACAAATAGGGCATAATGGCATCTTCAAATTACTTGGCTTTTGGGCGCTTTCAAGTTGAGCAATGAAAGTGGTTATTATTCACATGTGAAGAAATGCTTTGAGCAGATTGACGAAATTCTTGGCGCCTCAATGAGGATAGATTTCCGGCCGTTTAATCTAGATTACAGGGCTCTCACTCTAGTTGGTGAAGTAGGGGGCATTGTTAAATTAGATTTGTGTACGTTCAGAGACAGTTCGGCAGCATGAGTGGGTTCCAATGTACTTTGGTATCTACAGCAAGCAGTCGCTTTTGTATCTACTTTGGTCCATGACCTACACTTCAATGGAAATAGCATATATTGCGCTGAGCGGCAAACTTATAAAGGACCGTTTTCGTGTTGTCTACGCTCTGTACAGGCGACCACATTTTGCAGAAAAGTCCACCTTTCGTTAGTGAAACGGCTCTGTCTAAAAATGTCCCGTTAGTATGAAACCACTGTTCTCAATGGTTAAGAAGGACACACAGGAACCAGTCCATTCCAGAGATGAAGGTCGCTAAGCGAAAGCTTGCCTCAAATCACGAGGTATAGCAACAGTGTCTTTAGTCTGGGGAATTCAAATTGTTATGTTTATGTGCAGTCAGATAACTCAGTGCACCAGATTTATTTCAAATTTAACTCGCCAATGGCTTATTGCGACCTTGCTTTGCAACTTTTTCCGCTTGGCAGCCCAAAGATATTGGACTCTGCCATTAACAACTCTGTTTGTTTGAAAACACGGCCGTTTTATAAGCAGAACTATTTGACACATACAGAAAAAGGCATCGGCCTCGTCTCGATCGATCTATCTCTCGTTACTACCATCCCACCACAATCACCACAATCGCCACGCCCATCCACTTCACGACACAGCGCTCATCCCTCATTCTTCAGCTTGGATGGCTGATAACAATTATGGCTGATAGTAACTCAGTTCTCACATTAAGAACTGAAAGTGCTGGCGATGTAGTTTTACGGACACATGGAATGTCATGGCTAGCAGGTGCTCAACCAATCCCATTTTAAAATTACTCATTGTGTATAAGTCTAAATAAGCGTCTAAGTGGTGTAAGCATCGTTATTAAGTCGTTAAGGGGTCCAATGGACCTGGAAAATCCCACAAGTTCGCTGACAGAAAAAAAAATCACATCACATTCAGTGTAATATATCTCTCTGGAAAATAATTAATTAATCTGCCAATGCAGGCTTGTTCTGCATTGAGAACCGTATAAAATTTTCCTTTAAAGATATGAAGTATACACTTCGCGAAATGTGGTTATGTAAACCGGTACTCTTCACCCGCACCTCACTACTCGGTGCCAGATGCACACAAGTCCGAGGATATAACATTACAAAATACTGAGGTAATCAGACACTATTAGGCCCTGTTAGTCTTCCCATACCCTCATCATTTAAAATAATCCTTGCCAACGTCCCAAAATCTTTTGAATTTGGGTCGGTGAACTTCAAGCTAGACAGAGAAAAGAAGCATGTCTCATTTTACGTCACGAACTCCTTTGACCGGACAGTTGTGGTTCACAGACGGCTATATCCATTCAAATGCTCCATCGGAGGCACCACTCGCACCATTCACTTCACGTCTGACATAACGCACTCTCGAGTCGATCCATTAGCTCGATCTACACTTCACGTCAATTTTACGGTAGACCAACCAACGTATACGGAATGCGAAAACTATCTTCTCTGCTAAAAATAGTTTACAACAAATGTGGAAAACAAAATTAATAAGCCCACAAACGCACTTTCTAATGTGGTAAAACCAGTAAAAATAGCTATCCGTCAGATGACAGCAAGATCATGCTTGTACCGTGAGCAGACTCAAAAATGGTGGATCTATTAACATATTTGTCCATAATCATATCATGCTAACAATCACAGTTTTAAAAAAATCGGATACACTCAAGAATAAGTTTTCAAGAATCATTGAGTTGCTTCAGACTAATTTTCAAGCCAGTTCAGGCAGACAACCGCTCAGTATTAGGATGACAGTTGATTCAGTATGAACTAGTTGGTTTATAAGTACATAAATAAGTCTCAGAAAGCCTGTGGTCTCGTTCCTGATGTAACAGTGAGAATACTGTTTTATGTTCTAATTCGTATGTTGTGTACCTCCGCTTCGTTGCTGTGTTTCATTAGCGCGGACAAACACCCAGCAGATAATCAGGCAAATTCGGTGATTCGAGTGCGAGCAGAAGATGCCTTGGAGGAGACTGTCGAGGCTCGGGGTCTGATGAACTTTGCTTTTCGAAAACACCGACAACGCAGATAGCTGCAGAAATACTTGCGGTAGGTGGAGCTGACCACAGTTATCAGGATGGGGTTGATGCAGGAGTTCGCGTAAGTTAGCGCCTCAGCGAGCAACCTAAGGTATGTCATAATGGGCGTAAATAGGATGCTGCTGTCGACGTGGAAAATTATCTGAAAGATAAAGAAGGGAAACCAGCAGACAATAAAAAGGACGATGATAGCCAAGACTAGATAGGCCAAGCGCTTCCTGGAGCTGATCTGTGATCTCTTGTCATGGACTTCTCCAGGTAAGGCACGGGTACTAGCTATCAGCTTCCTGGATATCATACAGTAGTAGACGTTGATGATCATCAGCGGCATGATAAACAACACTAGGCCTCGCATGACAGTGTAGACTTTGCCTTCCGTGGACATATCGTGGATGACAATACAATAAGTGAAATGCTCGTTACGTATGACCTCTGAGAAGATCAAGGCCGGAATGGAAAAGATGAATCCCAGGAACCAGACGACGGAGATGATGGCGACGGTGTGTCCAGAGCCGCGGAAGCGAGAGTAGTTCATTGGTGTGACGATGGCTCGGTACCGATCGTGACTCAGCGCCACCATGGAAAAGATGGACACAGCCTGCGAAATGATGCTGAAGGTGTGGGAGAATTTGCATACGAGCAAACCAAATGGCCACATGTAGTAAACCATCTGGTAGATCCGGAGCGGTGCGCTAACAAGGACCACCAGGAGATCACCTACGGCCAGGCTGGCCACAAGTGCGTTGGGCCGGTTGCGCATGGAGCGGTTACTCAAGACGATCAGGATGATGCCGCTGTTTCCAAAAAAACCAACCACGGTAAGGATTGCCGTGACAATCCCGATGGCGTCAATGACACTCTGGTCCACGTCCTCAAAATCTGTGTTATTCGTAACGTTGGAGAACGACATGGCGTCTCTATCACAGGAAATGCTCAGCTGAAATAGCAAATAAAGACACTTTATGTTAAAACCAAATGCATCAAACCGCATGCGGTTTACAGATTTGAGGATAAGGGTGTCATAGATCAGGACACTCTTCCTGAGGCGGGGCTCTGAAAGTCATCCCAACAACTAAAAACTGCTTATGAACGAGACACAGAACGTATTCCAATTGATCTATCCACAGTCGTTATAATAAATTAGGCTTTTAGGGCAAAGTGTCATATTAATGTGTCCAGAAACATACCAGTATATTTCTGCCACGTTCCGTACGTTGTTATATTGTGTCAAGTGTCAAGTGTTAATTAATAGCAAGCAGCCAGATCAGTTTTGTACTTTTGATGAGGTGGGGTGGGTTTGGGGCAAGAGAAGAAAAGCTTTACTGCTCCGACAGCCCCGGAGTTTGATTTACGCGTTCTAGTTTATTTCCTTTTTCTGACTCTTTCCATCTCTCTAACAAGCCAAGAAATCTTAAAAGTCTGCCGAAGGGAAAGTTGTCCTTCCCCTCTCCACTGGATTCGTCACTGAGACAATGTGATTGTACCATCTACAACCCCTTTGAAAACTTTGGTTTGTCTTGAGGTGCATTAACATGCGTTCCAATAGACCTTTTGCGAGTTAAATTTGGATAAACTCTGATGTACTGAGTTATCTGAGTGGACATAAACATAACAATTTGAATCTCCAGCCTAAAGACACTGTTGCTATACCCTCGTGATTCGGGGCTAGCTTTTGCATATAGCGACCACCATCGCTGGAATGGACCAGTTTTTTTGTGTCCTTTCTATCCACTGAACTTGGTGCAAGGCGTCTCTTATGTAACTAAGCAAAAGCTTGCCCCAAATCACGAGGTATAGCAACAGTGTCTTTAGTATGGAGAATTCAAATCGTTATGTTCACGTGAATTTAAAGAACTCAACGTAACAGACTGCATTCAGATTTAACTGGCAAAAGGCTTTTCGGTTTAAGAAGTTAACCAGCCGGTTTCACCTCAAAAGTTTCTAGAATCCCGTAAATATTTCTGAAAACTAAAACTGCTCATTTGCATATTGCGTGATGATGGTCCTCAGTCTGGTCCAGTAGCAAAATAGAATTATCCATGTGCATGTTGGCAGAGTGCAAGTCATTAATACGTTTTTTATACATGTACTTCAAGACGCGAGACATTAACAATAACTATTCATACAGCACTCTAATCCAGACAAATCTCGTTACGAGCACACATTTACAACAACTTCAAGTGTAAGCCAAACCATCAAATTTGGCAAACACAATACATTCCACCTGTCCACTTTATTTGACAACCACCAGCCCAATGTCAACATGGCATGAAAACACTTCAGGCGTGCGCTGCGGCTTTCCAACAGTTGTGGCAAACGTATCCAGTTTACGTTTGTGTATAAGTATGGGGATATATAATGTCGAACTGCGACATCAACGCGATTGTAATGATCCATTCTGAGAGAGCAAATCCAACATTTCCTCTAACGGCGTCGCGGAGACTGCGTAAACAAGTTTAGATACATACTATGTCTGAAAATGAGAGTGTTTCATCAGCGCCGAATGTACGAAGGCGCGCATGCTACGAACTGTAAAATATTTATACTACTAGTTTTGGAAACCAGTCGCAATTTATCATTTAATCGGCGCTTTCTGATTAAAGAGATTATCTGTCATGGTTTAACAGTAAAAAAAACGTACCTCTGAAATTCTACTCAAAATGACAGTGATCTATAGGCAATATACAACAGCTTTTTTTCAATAACTTACAATTTGAAGTTTCCTGGTGTTTCTATGATGCACAATTTCACCAGTTCGATACTCTTCAATGAAGTCTGTTTCACTAACTTATCCTTTATATCAAAAATCGGAACCCAACCATGTCCGCAGATTCTATGTATTCTCAATCCAGCTGAGGTGGAATGCTCGCCTACCTTATGTTTTCCCCCTCTGTAACCAACCGCTGTGATCGACACAGGTGCATGCGCACACGGAAACGACCAGTTCGTGACATTATGATTAAAACAAAACAAGTATTTTTTAAACATGCAGTTGGAACCTACATAGGTTTTTTAAAAAGAGAGACAATAGCAGATATGAGGATGTTCTAGAAAATATCTTATGACACCAATAACGATGCCATCAGAAGATTACTTGAATGATATGACATTTGCAGCAATTTAAAACGCTCAAGTAGGGAGACGACTCAAATGCCTTTGACGGGTTTTTTTAAGACGACATGCCTGAAGTATTGTCTCTCTGTGCAGCGATGCTCGGATGCATTTCAGAACAAACATGATTTCGTATTCCAACAAAGCTGCCGGCGGCCGGAGCATACGGATTACGCAGTAATCGCTTTCAAAAGAGTCACTTCAGGAAGATATTCAAGTCACGTTATTGGATCACGGACTGCCAGACTTTTGTTGTAGGCAGGAAACGTTTTCTCCATCACCAAAAGCATACGGCTTTTCGATAACTCTTCGCTGTGATAGAGAAAATTGTTTGCAATGAAAGGTGAAGCAATTTTCGAGCTATTTCTTTTTTCTTTGACAAAATTTTGAAAGTAATTGCAGAAGTGATCCAAGGTAATCAGGAGTAAATGATCCTTGCCAATATGTACAGAAAGGAAATCCATACGGGTTTACAAGGGCTTTTTCCTTAACAGTCGTGGGTCTCTTACAGAAACGGTTCCCTTTTCCAGTGAGGCTTAACGCCCTGGAATCAACGCACAATCAAAACAACGGCTGTATATTCAAGGATAAAGGAAGCTGTTATGTTCTTCAAGGCAGAAGCGTGATCACTGTGGTTTGTCGTTTCAATGAAAGCTCGTCTAGTGATTAAAGGCGCAGGCGTACAAGGCCGGCCAATCAAGTTCAAGTTGGAATTGGAATTCCGTCGTGGTCGTGTGAATCAACTGATTAGGGCAGTGAAAAGTGCGCTTAGTGACACTATGGGCCTAATAATGACTCCATTTTGATGGATGAAACTCATTAGTTCTGGCTTGTTTGTATTTTTGGTAAAATCGGCTGCAATATTTATTTGACATCCATAGCTGTCACAACATTATGTGACCAAGGAGTCTCAAGGCAATTTTAGTAATTATGATACGAATACCTTTGCAAGAGCAGCATGAACTCGTTGTTTGGATGAGTCACTCGCTTTGGCATCCCGGTGTAGATACAAACGTTATGTGGGTGACCGGAGTTCCTATTGCTTTTGATGTGTTGGGTCACATACAATTTTGTATTAAAATAGACGCATTAGCTACATTTCAAACAAACTTTCCACGTTAACTCCAGAAGAATAGCTACTCTAAAAAAATACCTGCTATTAAAGTGTTGTAAAACAGTTCTTGGTCACAGCTCTCTTTTAAGGTCTTATTAGAATACGTACTTTACATTTTTTAATTTTTTAATTATTTTAAAAGGACAGAAGGCACAAAGGGTTGGCTAGAAACTTATAGACACTGTAAACCGTTTAATCTTTGATCGGCGCCCTATAAAATGGCACTTAGCTGTAGAGCTCACTCGACAGTGCCGAAGTTTCGGAGAGTTTGGACTAACCTTATTTACAATCCAGTTCGAAAACAAGCGATTCGGGGGCAATAGATTATGCAAGATTTACCACCTGATCCCAAACTGTGTGCTTAGGATGTAATGTGTCACAACACTGTGTCAAAAGCTAAGTGAGGACCATCCCTCAGCACAACGCTCAGACTAAGCTTCGAGGACCAAATCCGTTAATTCATTAGCCAAAACAGCATTACGGAAGCTTGAAGCAACCACGTGCCCTCCTTGACAAATGATAATGACATCTGTCCATGATGCCGTACCCCGGGTGTCTTCTCTTGCCTACCCTGTTTCAGGGAGACAAACCCAATGCCTCGGTATTTTGTCTTCCTAATGCCCCACATCATACTCAAACACTATCTTACTTCGTCCTCAAAAATAAGGGGAGTGTGGCCAATCGTGGTGAGATCTTGTATATTGAAGTAACAACTTACTAGGAACTATTAGCAACGTGGTGGGATCTTCATAGACGGGGAGGTCGTACCAAAAGCATGAGCATGCTCAAAATTTACGTAGCAGGGTCAAAGATAGGGGCTTCAAATCGCAGTGACAGCGTATTAACAACCAATAGTAAAGTTGACACAATACACGTAGTCTTGGCGTATCAGCGTCGTTGTGGGATCTTCATAGACGTTGTACAAGTGCAGCTCGATTCTATCGGGAAAAATTGTATGCCATGTCCCACTGGAGAACTATTAAGTGCACTGTTTCAGCCAAAATATATAAGAAATGGTTGGAAATGGGACGGCAGTTTGCTACAAGCATACTGCACGTTATACACGCAGCGACAATGTATTACAATCGTACGGGGAATTTTTTTTATCGCAGTACAATTTGAGTAGAGTCAGGACTCACGCCCAGTTAAATCGTGTCGAGACCGTAATGCGAACTCCATACACGTGCTGGTAACACAGTAACACGTAGTGCAACCTTCGGAGAGCAATTTTTTCGCCCGATTTTCTTAGTTTCATTCCGTCCCAGCCACGTTTTAATGAAATTTTAAAAGGTAGTGGAGTCTTCCTGGTTGTCTTCAGAGTGTGATGGGGGCATTTACAAGATAATCAATAAATGAGAACCTTCAACTTGCATACCAGCGACTTGAGGTTTTTTAATTAATTGCAACCAGCCAAACGCTGAGGTCATTAGCACGTTCCAGTAGACTGCAGTGCGTGACAACCCGTGTGAGCGCATCACGAAGGGCATTAATCCCCTCTCTACTGGAAGATCCTATTCGGTTGTTAACCGACTGTAATCATCACCAAATTGTGGCAGTGACCTTTTCAACCTTTTCCGGGGAAAGGTAAAGAATCTGCCCTCCAAGATATCGGCTGTCCCATGACTATCTGAAACCAGACATGCATGTAAAGACACAAGAAAATCCTTAGCGCGTGTCGGCTCTTACAATGAACATGTCATTGGGAAAACATA